CGCATTGTAAATTCAATGGTAGGACTGTTAGGGTGTCCACTGCCGTGGCATCCACACGGGTAGACATGTTATGTGAAAGTGCTGGGCCTGCTTTGGTGGGCGGCCGCGGGCTCCCGGCTTCCAGTTCTGGCGATGGTGCCGGACCAGCTCGCTGAGAGGTTGGGTTCCCTGGCTCCTGGTGTTTGGCTCCAGGTTTTTCTGTCACGGCGCCGCGGGGCCTTTCCAAGGCAGCGGGGGGGGACGTGACAAAAATCTTGGGGGGGCTGGCGCTGCCGAACCCAGGTTGTTTTCTCACGGCGCCGCGGGGCCCTTCCAAGGCATGGGCCGATTCCGGCAAGCGGTTGGGTTCTGGGTTCCAGATCCAGAGTTCCAGCGGTTGGCAACGTATCAGAGAATAGAAAGCAGAGTGGAGGAGATAGAAGAAAGAATGTAGGCGCGTTCGCGCCATATTCGACATCCTACCCCTCCCATCCATTCCTTGCCATTGCGATGTTTGTTGTCTCTATCCGCGGACGCGTGTCATAAACTGGAGTGGAGGCAGCGGAGGAGGGGAAAGGAGGGGGAATGGGGGGATGGCGGAGGAGGGGGAAGGCGCGGGGTGGACCACGGGGAAGGGCGGAGGGCCGGGGAGAAGGCGGAGGAGGGGAAAGGGGGGCGACGAGGGAGGAGGAGGGGCTCGGATCAGGAGGAGTGGCCCGCGCTCCGGGGAGAGCGCAGCGCCAGTCGGGACGCGGGGAGCACAGCTCCGACTCTAAGAATTATTACGTATACATATATAATAAAAATAATATAATATATATATATATATATATATATATATATATATATATATATATAATAAATAATAATAATAATAATAATAATAATAATAATAATAATAATAATAATAATAATAATAATAATAGTTATTATTATTATATATATACACAAAAAACTCTGACCTGCCTGCGTGCAGGAGCACTGTACGGAGGGGGGACGCGCGCGACTCTCCCGGGACGCCTGCGCGGGGGGAGAGGGGAGTAGTACTCAATTTGAGTACACATTGTTCATGTCTAAGTATTCGAAAGTTATTTGATTTTTGGGAGGGGCAAGATCATCTCGTTTCTAATCGTTCTATCCTGGGCCTCTTCCTGGCCACTAGGGGACCAGGAACACTTAGAAACGAGCACGATTAGAAATGAACGACGCGTACTCAACCTGAGGAAGTGTTTTAATGACAAAGAGCAAGCCGAGTTGAGAGGCCACATTATCCAAACAGGGTATATGATATAAACTTGGTAGCAAGACGCAGAGAGGGAGACATAGAGAGAGGGGGAGGGAGGGAGAGAGAATGCATGCGCACACAATCACCGAACTCGCATGTTCCTCAGCCCCCTCACCCTCTCCTCCCTTCTTCCATTCGCCCTCCAGTCCCTCCTTCTGGTAGGGCCTGGGTGGTGGTGCCCAGCAGAGCTGTTGAAAGGAACCAGTGAGATCCCACGGCACGATTTTATCGTTCTGCCCGTCCATGTCCCTGGGCCCAGGCCCCCATGCAAGCTTCCCGCGCCACCCCTCACCCCACCTTCCTTGCGTCCGCTCGTTAGCGCATGCGGAACAGCAGCCACCAGGCGTTCCGAATTCGCTCGGCCCAGGGCCGGCCCCGGGCGAGCGTCATAACCACGCTGTACATAGCCGGCGCTGGTGCACACGCTGTACATAGCCGGCGCTGGTGCAGCTCTTGCTTTGGCTGCGCAGGCCGAGGCGCGCTGGTGGGCCCTCGGCCAGAAACCAGATTCCGAGCGGCGCGACGCCTCGGCGCTTCTTCCTCCTCCTCCTCCTCCTCCTCCTCCTCCTTTTCCTCCTCTTCCTTCTCCTCTCTGCTCCTGCTCCTTCTCCTCCTCCTCCTCCTCCTCCTCCTCCTTCTCCTCCTCCTCCTCCCTCCGCCTCCCTCCTCCTCCTCCTCCTCCTCCTCCTCCTCCTCCTCTCCTCCTCCTTCCTCCTCCCTTCTCCTCCTCCTCCTCCTCCTCCTCCTCCTCCTCCTCCCTTCTCCTCCTCCGTCTCCTCCTCCTCCTCCTCCTCCTCCTCCTCCTCTCCTCCTCCTCCTCCTCCTCCTCCTCCTCTTCCTCCTCTCCTCCCTTCTCCTCCTTCCTCCTCCTCCTCTTCCTCCTCCTCCTCCCTCCCTCTCCCTCCTCCCTCCCCTCTCCTCCCTCCCTCCCTCCCTCCCTCCCTCCCTCCCTCCCCCTCCTCCTCCCCCTCCCCCTCCCCTTCCCTCCCTCCTCTTCGACCGCCGCACGCGGAGGTGGAGGAGGCATGGAGGAAGGAGGAGGAAGAAGAGGAGGAGGAGGAGGAGAGGCCTCGCGTGTTGAATTGAGGGGGAGCAGGAGGCCGGGGGAGCAGGAGGAGGAGGGGAGGTGGAAGTCCCAAGCGAGAGCCCCGTTTTGAAAAGACACCAGCCTGGATTCCACCCGACTACGTAACTGTTGCATAAGTCTGGCAATATTGCCAGAACGTGTCTCAAAGAGAGCCCCGTTTTGAAAGGGCATCGCCCTCCATCACTGCAGTGGCTACACACTTGTAGGTTTTGGTATACATGTGTTGAACAAGTATTAGGCTAGAGTTCTATCTTGAAAAAGAACCGCCATCCATCCGTGCGATTGTTATATGTGTTTTAGACGAGTGTGCACGGCGCGATGGCGAGATCCCCAGTTTGAAACCCACCCGCCCTGTTGTGAAACCCACCCGCCCTCAACCCGTGTGACTGTTGGATTTGTTCAATATGAGCGCGCGCGTCATCAAGGGGTTCCACGTGGTAGAGCAACCCCATCTCGATCCTGCGAACCGTGCGACTGGAAGCCTCAAGCTTCGATGTCGCACACGGCGAGGAAATCTCAGGCTAAACGCTGGGACCGCCCTAGCGACACGCGTGGTGGTGTGACAGGCAGGAGTGGCTTACAGTGGAAAGAGGGGGAGGAGAGAGCAGAAGGAGCAGGGCAAGGGGGAAGAGACAGCTGGCGTCCTCCCAACTTCGACTCCGGGCCGGGCATCTCGAAGGTCTGCGGCCGCTCCGCCGAACCGCGCTCCAGAGGTTGGGGGTGTGCGTCCCGATTCGGCCTGGCCTCTGAAGGGCTCTGCTCGAAGACAGCGTTGAGAGAGTTGTCGACACGGAGACGTCCTCCACCTCATCCCTTCTTGTCAGCGCTCGCTCCTCCTCTCCTCCCTCGTCCCCCCTCCCTCCTTACTCCATCACCCTCCCGCCTCAATCCTCCCTCGCCCCTCTTCCCCCCTCCTCCCCAGTCTGCTCTCTCGGGCCGTCTCGTCGTCTCGAGGCCTCGTCGTCGATTGATCCCGTTCGGAGCGCAACACCCCCCCAACAGAAGCATCATCATCATCCTTCATCCTCGTCCTCCCTCCTCTCCAGCTCTCTCCTCTCCTCCTCCATCCTCCTGATCCCTTCTCACGCCTCCTCATTTCTGTGCGTCTTCTCCGCTTTTTTCTTCGGCTTAAGCTAATAGGGATTAGTTATGTCACTCCCCATCTTCTCTACCGCCCTGCAACTGCGTGATTGCAACTACGTGATTGCGATTTGGTGATACCTCGCTCTCCCATACAAAAACCTGGGTGCGAGCCCTGGGAGAGGCACTTCAATTGAGAGACGGCATCCGTTTCGGTACCTCCGCTACCGCTTCAGTACTTGATTATCTGCGTCGGTGCCCTCAATAATGCGCTCCGGTACCTCCAACAATGTGTTTCAGTATTTCTGCCCATCCGTTCGATACTTCCAACAACCCGTTTCGGTAGTTATATCAATCCGTTTTTGCATTCCCAGTCATCAGCTCCGGTCTTTCCAATTATCCATTTCGGTATTTCCATGAAGTCGTCCTTTCTCTGTCTCGTCTCCTTCCGTATCATCTTTCTGTCTCCTCCTCATATCCTTCCTTCTTCGTTGTGTTCTTCCCTCTCCTGGCGAGCAAAAGAAATAGACGGCTCGCCGCGCAAATTTTGCTTGTTTAGATCACGGCCGTTGTCGGTATAGTCTACTCAAACGTGAAGTCTTTCCGTTTAGTGGATGCAATGTACACGACGATCAACGAGTTTTCGTTTCTTGTCACGCGAGAACTTGCAAGATTCTGACGCAATCTTGCACAACAACACATGTTTTTTGACGTTCGCGAGGGATGCGCATCAGCAAGTCCGACCAACTGGGCAAACTCGACAAATTGAAATAACGCACGCACACATATACACACGCACCCACACACACACACACGCACAAACGCACACACACACACACACACACACACACGCACACACACGAACACATGGACATAAGGAAAACAAGCAAGCACACACATATACACACCCTACACAGTTACGCTTTTACGCACTTATACATACCCACACACTTCCTTACACACGCACAAACACACGCTTATACACACACACACACACAGTAACACACACACACACATCTCCACACCCACACCCACACACGTGCGTGCGGGATGAGGAGGACAAAGAAGAAGAAATGAAAAACAAATACCGGAGAACATGAAAAACGACGATTACGAGGAGGTGAACGACGACGAAGCGGGAGAATGATACTTCTTTTTGAGGGACCTCTTCCTCCCCATCCTCCTTTCTCTTTGTAAACGTGTTGGGTCGATCTCGTTTAGGCGTTAGCCCGGCTGCCCATTACACACACACATATATATATATATATATATATATATATATATATATATGTATATGCACCTGTATATATACATATATAACACATACATATGTAGGTATGTGTATATGTATGTATATTGAGTTATGAATATATTTGTATATAGGTATATGTGCGTATATATATACATATATATATATATATATACAGGCTTGTATGGTCATACCATTTGGTGCGTGTATCCCCTACGCCGGCTACCCTCCGTATTAGAGCTGTTTTGGATCGTGAGTTTTGGCACCGAGCCAAGCTCCCTTTCTCCCGCGTGGCGGTGGTGCGTCCGCCGCGGCGCGAGGGTCGCAGGGCGTCGCGGCAGCCGCGTGACGCCGTCGCGCGGCTTGGCGACGGCCTGGGCCACGGCACGCTGTGTGCGCTCGGGGCGCGGAGCACGAGCGCACTCCAGGACGGGAAATGGATGCAGCTCGCGGAGGCGGCGTCGTCGCCTCGGTCGGGGAGCTGCTCGGTCGGTCGGGGGGCCCGAGGTCGTCGGGGACGACGAGGCTGTGGCCGCCTTGGAGGAGCTGGAGCCGTCGCCCGCGGACCCGATTGTCATCGAGCCGAACTCGCTCTATTTGAGTACGGGGTTCAACGGCGATGGGGAACAGCAGTGCGATTTCGCGTGGCTGGCGCTGCGGGCCACAGGCGCCTCCGAGCAGCACGTGCGCGCAAGGTTTTTCTTCAGCGACGATGCGTACTGGGACTGGCGGGCGGCGTCTCCAGGCGTGGCGGGCGGGATTTCCCCCAGCGCCCTGCTGCACATCTGCACAGACGAGCCGCGCGGCGTCGAGGCACCTGCGGGCTGCGACGAGCTCGTCCACGTCGTGGACGCCCGCAGGCGGGAGGCGGAAGACATCGCCGAGATCTTCTCCATGTGCTTGCCCCGCAACCCCGAGGCGGTCTGGACCGCAGACCTGCTGGGGCCGCGTGGGGCGCGCCTGGCCGCCCCACGCCTGTCGGCGTGCCCGACGAAGGAGAGTGCTGCACCGCCGACACTTGGGGCGGCGGGGCCCCGCGCAGCCGAGCGCGCGGTCGCGGGCCACAGCGCTCCCTTCGATGGGCTGCTCGGCGACAGTGCCCTGTCCGCGCGGGCTGCAGGCCCCCCGCTCAACTTGGAGCCCACGCGGGACGAGCTGCGGGCCAGGCTCGCTGCGGCGCGGGACCGGTTCGCCTCGGCAGCGCTAGGGGCCGCTGCGGCTGGTGCACCTTTAGGCAGTGCAGAGGGCGGGCCGAGCGAGGGGAAGCCGAAGAGCGCGGCCTCGCCGAGGTGCTCGCGGAGCGCATGGCGAAGGCCGCCAAGGCCCCCAGCGCCGAGGCAGCGCGCGGCTCAAGCGGCCCAGTTGCTGCTGCTGTGGCCAGCGAGGGAGCTGCGGGCGAAGGCGTGAAGGTGCTGGCGATGGCGCTCATGGCGGTGCTCAAGAGCTCGGCCACGCAGGCTGCCGGCAGCTCGGGCGCTGGCGCCGCCTCGGACCCCCTCAGAGCAGCCGACGGGGCCGCAGCCACAAGGGGGACTTGCGACCAAGCGGGCTCATTGCAGGAAGATGGCGCAAGACCAGCCAGGCAGGTTGTCGGAGCTCACGCTGATGCAGATGGCAGAGTTCCTCGGCGCCGTCGAGGGCGATCGCGCTGAGGAACTTGCTCACTATCTACTTGCCGCAGAACCCAGTGCAGCAGATCGGGGTGGCTGCGTTTCGCGAGATGCGGGCACTGGCCGAGTCGATCGACTTTCTCCTCCAGTGCAGGATTCTTCAGGCGCTAGACATCCTGACCCAGCGGCTGAAGGCGGCGCAGGTGGCAGTCGGCGATGGGCTCTGGGGCGCGGCGAAGTGGCTCGAGCTGACCCCTGCCAAGGACGAGCCCACCACGCTGCGCAACGAGGAGGAGGCGATGATCCGCAGCATCGAGCTCGGCGAGTTGAAGCTGGAGGAGCTCAGCAGCCGGCTTCGCAAGCCTCAGGGTTGAAGTGGAGGCCGGGAGAGGCGCGCCCGCCGCTGGCGCCTCCTCCTGCAGGCTTGGCGGGGGGGGGGGGCACCGCCTGCGACAGCGCGGCCGCCCGGCAATCGCGCGCCCGCCCGCCCGAGGGCGCCGAAGGGCAGCACGACGGAAGGCGAGAGACCGCCTCATCAGCGAGTCGCGCAGCTCGACAATACCGCAGAGACGCTGCCTGCTGGAGGCTTCCAGGCGCCGCGGAACATCAAGGCGGCGAGGGTTGTCTGCCCGACGGCGAGACGTCGAAGGAGCGCAGGCCGCGGCTGCGGGACTTCATGACGGAGTCGCGCGGCCAGAGGCGGTAGCAGACGTTGCCGAGGCTGCTGGAGGTGCAGCTTCTGAGGAGGAGGGCGCGGCGCGGTCCCCGACCCGCGGCAGCGGGTCGCTGGTGTCTGAGGACTCACCCCCCTTGGCTGGAGGCGGAGGGGGCAAGGAGCCGCTTCGCGACTGGAGCGCCTCCCAGCGGGGGCCAGCAGCGGGAGCTGGCGAGCACTTCTCTCCCACGCGGCATGCGGGGCCTCCCCGCCGCGGGCTGCGCCACGCGCGACGCCGGGGCGCGGCGCGACGAGGTCACGGCCCAGTTCGGCGCGACCACCACGAGCATCGACACGACAGTGCATCTCGTGCAGCTCGGCGAGCGCCACCCTGGCAGCCTGGGGATTTTCTCGAAAGAAATTGCAGAGCGTGTGTCCACACTTTGCAGGAGCGGCAGGCGCGTTCCTGACCTGTTGCCGTTGCCCCCGCCAAGTCTCCCGGCTGTCAGGCGCTGGCGCGCGAGCAGAGATGCTGGCCGCAGGTGCAGGGCCAGGCCTTTCGCTCGTCAGGTAGCTGACGGGGCCTGGTGGCTTCTCGCCGTCGCGGCGCTGAATTACACGCGCTGTGGTCGCTGCAGAAAGGGTTGGAGGCATCGCCCGATCTTGCCCCATGCGCAGCAGCAGGCCACGGGGCCCCTGGAGCCCCGCGTCGTCGACTTCGCGGGGGGGCCGTTCGAGCAGGTGAGCGCGCCCGCCGCCGACGCGGCCCTCAGCGAGGCGACCGTGGGCTACTCAGGCCAGGCCGCGGCCAAGGCGCTGCCTTGCGCGCTCGCGGATCTGGCGCCAGGCTTGCCGCAGCCTGAGAACGCGGCGGCGTTCGGCGCCCTAGTCTTCGTGGAGCACGACGTTCCCGAGTGGCTGGCCTCGCCCGAGAAGGCCCATCTCCCCGAGGCCGATTGGCCCGACCCCAGGCTTCGAGCCAGGGCCAACATCGCGGACAGGGCGGGTTGGCATGAGCTCGCGGTGCATCTCGCGGAGTTCAGGATCGCGGCGGCGCTAAGCGAGGACCTGTCTGTCGGGGCCAGGGGCGACCCGCTCTGGAACGGGCCCTTCACGGCAGCAAAGGAGGGCAAGCCAGGGCCAAACGGCGAACGGGTCACCAGGCTGATCTTGAACAAGGTCTTTGGCGACGCCCTGCTCGAGCCGCCTGTCGTTGAAGCTTCGCTCCTCGCGGCGTCTACAAGCTGGGTGCCCCTGCACATTCCCGAGGGCAAGTGGCTGCTGTGGACGGGCGACGACCAGAAGGAGGCCTTCTTCGTCTGGAGGGCCCCCAAGGCCTGGCACCCCTACATGGCGGTCGGCAGGTCTCTTGCTGGCGCGCCCCCCGGGCGCCCTGAGCGGCAGGTGTACATCGCGCCCGCGGCGATTGCCACGGGGCACATGCTGGCCGCCCCAATCTTCCAGCACATTCACCGCAGGTTGCGCCGCCTGCCGCCGCCCAGGGGCGCAGGGCTTCCGCTTGAGCTGGGGTGGCAGAAGGGCGAGGCACGCCCGATCGTCGAGCTGGGCAGTGGTTGCGAGGCCGGCTGGCGGCAGGTCGACATCGACTACCTAGGCCCGCCCGAGATCGCGGACGAGGCGCGGGCGCGACAGTTCGGGGGCACCGAGGCGGACTGTCAGCAGTGCGTTCGCGAGAGCTACAGGTGCGCACGCGTGGCCCACTCGGCGGAGAAGGCCCACCTGCGGGAGACGCGGGTTGAGCGCATGGGGGCCAGCGTGGGCGGCGTCAGCGGGCGGCTTGCAGCGCCAGGCCCCAAGGTGTTGAGTGACGCTTCCCGTTGCCTCGCGACGTGGTCGCAGGAGCGGGTGCCCTGGCGTGCGCGCGTGATGGACCTCGGCAAGCTGGCGCGGGCTTTTGGATTCAGACGTCCGCTTTCCAGCCTCCTCAACTCTGCATGGTCCATGTCGACGGCGCGATCTTCGGTCCAGTACAATACCGAGATGGTCGAGGAGCTCTGATGGGGCCTCATGTTGCCGCCTACAGCGGCCACCTCTCTTCGGGCCCACGTTGAGGGGATGGTCACGGTCTCGGACGCTTCGGAGTTCGGGGGCGGCGTCTGCGCGTCCACGAGCCTTCGGGGGGAAGCGGCAGTGGCGCTCAAATCCGTGAGACAGGTCGTTGGTCACCTCGGCGTGGGCACTTGGCTGCTCAACATGCCTGTAGACACGCGGTGTTTTTGGACCGTGTCTAATCCGCGGATCCCGAAGGCAGTCGCGTTCAAGGTGCTCACTGTCCTAGTCGGGGGGGGCTCTTCGACGGCATCGGCGGCCTCGCGGCGTCGCTCTCGAAGTTGCCCGTCAGGATTGTCACCTATGTCACCGCCGAGACCGACGCGAAGGCCAGGCGCGTTGTCCAGCTGCGCTGGCCAGGCGCGATCGGCGGGGGCGGCGTGACACGGTGGAACGAGGGCCTGATGCAGGACCTCTGTGACACGTTCTCGGGGATTGTGGACGCGGGCGTCGCTGGCACGGGCGGCCCGTGCCGGGACCTTTCGCGGCTTGACGCGAGCGGTGGAGGACTGCATGGCCGCAGGGGCTCAGGGCTCGAACCTGCAGGCCGCCTCAGACGCCAGGGCCCTCCTGCTCGCGTACAGCTTCAGCGTCTATGGGTCGCAGGGGCCTTGCGGCACGTCCTCCTGGCGGAGTCCGCTTTGGCGCGCCCCCCACCCCCCCCCCCCCCCGTCCGTGCCCGTGATCACGCGCGTCGGCCACTGCCGCAAGACCTGGGACCAGAGCGGCGGCTTCGAGGAAAGCTCGGGCGACCCGAGCATCGAGGAGGCCTGGCGTCTCGCCCCCCACTACCTGGGCCACACGGAGTAGGGGGGCTCGGACGTGCGGCTGGATTGCGCCTGCCATGCCGTCCAAGAGGCTGCCCTCGCTCGAGCCTGGACCCCTTCGCGCGGCGGCGGCGCGTCGCGCTGAGCACGGCGTGGTCGCGCACGGCGCGCACATCGACGTGAGAGAGCTGCGGGCAATGCCGGCAGCTATGCGGTGGCGAGCGCAGAAGTCAGCTTGACACTGCACGCGGTGGCCCCACCTCGTCGACAGTTAGGTTTAGCGACCATCGCGCCCAAGGGTCGCAGCAGCAGCTGCCGCTTGCAGCCAGCGCTGGAGGTTGGATGGCCATGGCGATCGCGGCTGACATGTACCCGCTGATCGGCAGGCTTCGCGCTGACGAGCGACACTGCCGCGGGCGTGTGCTTCCCGCTGCCCAAGCTCTGGCGGAGGCTGGACCTGTCGTGGGCGCTGCGGAAGGCCTGGCGACGAGTGGCACCTGCAGAGCGGGCGCTGCCGTTCACGCTCGACATCGCCGCGGGCATGGCGAGCCTGGCAGTGGAGGCCGGAGCGTTCGACTTGAGCTGCCTGCTGCTCATAAGTTTTGAGTGCCTGTTGCGGGGGGCGAGGCCTTGCGTTGACGGTGGACGACGTTTTCGGCCGAGGTACTCAGTCGTGCTGCATATCAAGACGTCCAAGACCACAGCAGGCAAGGACGCTGCGGAGGCCGTCGCCATCAGGTCAGCATGGCCAAGGCAGGGCTCAGGCCGGCCGTGCAGCAGGGCCCTCAAACGAAGCCCAGTCGCGGAGGTCGCCCGCCCAGCTCAGAAGCGCGCTCAGAGCCTTCGCGCACGGCCAGGGCCTGCCTCGACGCTACTCGCGGCAGCTTGCCTGGCGACGAGGCGCCTCGGACTTCTTTCTTCCTGCAGTCGTCCTCCATGGAGGCGGCGCTCGCGAGGGGCAGCTGGGTCAGCAGCATGACGGCCCGCACCTACATCGAGGGTGCGGTGGCCGGCCTCGCGCGCGCGGCCCGCGGACCAGGCCGCCGCCACTTGCTTGCATGGAATCGCTGGTTGCATGTTCGTTGCATGCACTCTCAGAGTTGTTAAAAATAGTTGTTACGGAGTATGTTCACGAGCTTCGCTCTGGCAATGATCTCGTCGTTTCCCATCCGAAAGCAGGCTAATTACGGTTTGCAAATGGATGGAGGGGCGGAGAGTTTAACTGCATGTTCACGGCTAGCAAGCCACAAGGGGGTGGCGATGGTATAGCGCGTTGTCCACGTTCTTTGCGGCGCCGCGGACAGGGGTTCAGTGTGGTTCGGGTCCTGAAGCGCCCCTCCCCGTCGTGAAGCTGGCCCGTGAAGCCAGAGCGACGCCAGTGTGGACTGCCACGCTTGGCTGCTTTGGCTGCGGGGGCCCTTGCTCTTGGCTCGGCGCAGCTGCGGGGGAAGGGGGCGTCGGGCGTTTCGCGGCGAACCGCAGTCTGAGGGGGAAACTGAGCTATTAGACTATCGGCGTGGACACGTGCAGTGAAACGGTATGTCCGTATACAGGCTTGCACGGTCATACCATTTGGTGCGTGTACCCCCTACGCCGTCGACCATCCGTACCAGAGTTGTTCTGGCTCCCGACCCACACACCACCCACCATAATGATCTCTTGTAGAGGCTAGCCGGCTAAATGTTTGCTTGAGGTGCCGTAGCCCATCAGGTATAGCGTTTTCCCCGGTTTTTTGCGGGGCCGCGGACTGGGGTTCATTGCGACCTGGGTCTTGAAACGCCCCTTTTCCACAACATCGTCTTACATCTCAATACACTCGAATCAATTGAAACACATTCCGGAGACTTGGGAGATTCACCCCCTCGGAAATCTCAGAGAAAATTTGTCCGGGAAATCTTGCCTCTCGGAAGTAGCCGCTGAAATTCAAAATTCTGGTTAAGATCATCCCCGATCTATCTATATGGTGGTGGCAGAGCCGCTCCGCCTCGGAGCGGGTAATACCGCAGGATGTTTCGCACGAGCTGCGGGAGAAAGAAGCCGCCATTGTCGCCGTCGAAGGTCGAGGACCGATCTGAAGTTTTAAATGTGTTCGTCCGGTGTTGATACCCAGTGGAGGAGGTTTCGCCAACACGGTTTGATATTTCTGCTCTTGAAAGTCTAGGCTGCACGCGCCCCGGGATCGATCCAGAAAGCGATGCCGAAGCACCTGTGCCGAGAACCAGTCGTCGTAGGAACCTTTCTCGGCTGTTGATCGCCGAAAAGTTTTCGTCGTCGCTTCGAAAGTCTGGCCAGAACGCACCCCGACATTGACCCAGCGGGCGATTTTTACCCTCGGTCCCGAAGGTCCGTCGTCGCCGCTGCCGCCGTCGCCGTCGTCGCCGCGCTTTTCTCGGGCCGCGCGGGCAGGGAGGGGAGGGGGAGGGGGAATGGAAGGGGGAGGGGGGAGAGAGGGAGGGGAGGGGGATAAGAGGGTGCAGAGAAGGAGGGGTTGGGAACGAAGGGGAAAGAAGGGGAGGGAAGAAGAAAGAGAGAAGCAGCACCGACCCAGAGCTGCAGCGGCACGAACCCATGCGGTGCCGAAGCGAATTGTCGGAGAAACGGCGCGACCGAGGTGCCGAAACGAAGCGACCGAGATACCGAAACGTATGTTCAAGCACGGAAGCAGTAGCGGAGGTCTCTCAACGGCAGTATCCGTTTCGGCATCTCTGCTACCATTCCGGTATTTGAACATCCGTTTCGGTTTCCTTATCAAACCGCTTCGGTATTTCAGCCGCTTCGTTTCGGTACCTCAGACGATCCGCTTTGCTACCTCAGAAGATTGGTTTCGGTACCTGGGAAAATGCGTTTCGGTACCTCGAACACTTCGCTTCAGCACCGCATGGGCTCGTGTCGTTGCTCCTCTGGGTCGGCGTTGGTTTTTTGTTCCTTCTTCCCTTCTTCCCCATCCGCTCTCCCCCCTCTGACCTCCCCTCCCCTCCCTTCCCCGTCGTTCCCATCCCCTCCCTTCCCCTGCCTCCCCTCCCTTCCCCTCCCCCCTCCCCTCCCTTCCCCTCCCCCTCCCCTCCCTCTCCCCTCCCTCCCCCCTCCCCCTCCATCCCCCCTCCCCCCCTCTCTTCCCCTCACCTCCCTTCCCTCCCCGCGCGGCCCGAGAAAAACGCGGCGACGACGGCGACGGCAACGACAGGCCTTCGGGACCAAGACCTCAAATTCGCCATTGGGTCATTGCTGGGGTGCGTTTTGGCCGGACTTTCGAAGGGAATCTTACGGTTGCAACGAGAATCCCCCGGTGATCAAAGTCAGAGGTACCGACAACGTCGATGGCGGCGGCGATGATCGCTTTCTGGATCGATCCCAGGGAGCGTGCAGCCCAGATTTTCAAAAAAAAGACCCCAAGCGCGGCGGCGAGACCCTCTCCAGGTACCAGAACTTGACGAAAAGATTTCAAATTTCACATTGACGATGGCGGTTTCTGTCTCGTGTGGGGCTCACCCACTCCGAGGCGGAGCAGGTCTGCAACCATCGTATGGTTGGACCCGGGGCGCGTGGGCCAAATGGCCGAAACGATTTTGGCAAGAAATCTAACAAAAATCATCCCTTTGAGTCTCCGCCCGCAGTGTTGGGACCCTCCCAGATATCCAAAGCAGATCCCCTGGGCGAAATCGCCAGGCCAAATCTTCACCGACATCTCCAGGAAATCTGCGGGAGTTCCCTTTTCTCCAGCGAATTTCTGGGTGAATCCGCACGCGTGAGAAGAATCCCCGGCTACATTTTCGTGGTCTCCGAAATTGTTACGATTGATCAGAACGCATTGGGATAAATCAAGAGAGAGAGAGAGAGAGAGACCACAAAATCTGGCATCGCACAGGGATGCCCTCTGTCACCGCTCTTGCTCACAATGGTGATGACAGCGGTCATACACGATGCGGTTGGACTCATCAGCGAGCAAGCATGTCGCTTCAAAATGGTAATGTATCAATTCTGTTGCACGCAAACGACACATTGATTTATGGCAGACACCAACCAGGTGACACTTCTTGAATGCAGTCGCGACAGCTGGTTGGGAAGTTGGCATTGAGCTGCACTGGGGTAAATTTCAAGTTGTGTAACTAATCGACAAGATGGCTTTAGCCTCGCGGGGAAGAATTTCAAGCACATGACAATTTGGTGCACTTCGGGGTTACAATCAACATGCAGAATTAAACAAACGATTGGGACAAGTTTTTCCCCACATCCAAAGTGGGGTTCTTGTTTTCTTTGGACACCCCGCGCAGGAACAGGAACACACACACACACACACACACACACTCACACTCACACTCAGTCACACTCTCTCACCATCAACCTCATCAGCATCATCGATGATGCTCTCTCACATGCTTAGTCACTCACATACTCATCATCATCATCACTCGCACTCTCTCACACGCTCATGAACATCATCATCATCATCATCATCATCATCATCATCATCCTCATCATCGGCATCGGCATCATCGTCATTCAAACATCATCATCGCCACCACCACTCACAATCAATCATCATCCTCTTCACCACTCATCTTCACCACCACTCATCATCCTCATCCTCATCATCGTTGAGTAAATTGTGAGGAAGTCTCAGGCGGGAGCCCCCTCCCTATGGGGCCCGCAGATCATGTTGGTAATCCGAGCGGGTCATCGGAATCCTGTAACTATCGTCACTTTTGAGCTCCCCAGGCCTGAATGGAGGAAGTCTCAGGCGGGAGCCTCGTCTGCGAGTGAATTGGGAGGAAGTCTCAGGCGGGAGCTCCCTCCCTATGGGGCCCGCAGATCACGTTGGTAATCCGAGCGGGCCATCGGAATCCTGTAACTGTCGTCACTTTTGAGCTCCTGAAGCCTGAATGTGGAGGAAGTCTCCGGCGGGAGCCTCATCTGTGAGTAAATTGCAAGGAAGTTTTAGGCGGGAGCCCCCTCCCTATGGGGCCCGCAGATCATGTTGGCAATCCGACCGGGTCATCGGAATCCTGTAACTGTCGTCACTTTTGAGCTCCCCAGGCTTGAATTTGGAGGAAGTCTCAGGCGGGAGCCTCGTTTGTGAGTGAATTGGGAAGAAGTCTCAGGCGGGAGTTCCCTCCCTATGGGGCCCGCAGATCATGTTGGTAATCCGAGCGGGTCATCGGGATCTTGTAACTGTCGTCACTTTTGAGCTCATCAAGCTTGAATTTGGAGGAAGTCTCAGGCGGGAGCCTCGTCTGTGAGTGAATTCTGAGGAAGGCTCAGGCGGGAGCCCCCTCCCTATGGGGCCCGCAGATCATGTTGGTAATCCGAGCGGGTCATCGGAACCTTGTAACTGTCGTCACTTTTGGGCTCGTCAAGCTTGAATTCGGAGGAAGTCTCAGGCGGGAGCTCCGTCTCTGAGTGAATTGTGAGGAAGTCTCAGGCGGGAGTTCCCTCCCTATGGGGCCCACAGATCACGTTGGTAATCCAAGCGGGTCATCGGAATCCTGTAATTGTCGTCACTTTTGGGCTCCTCAAGCCTGAATATGGAGGAAGTCTCAGGCGGTTTCGCCCAGGGCGGAGGCGAAGCAGCTCGCGGCAGAGCTGGGTTTCGTGCTGCCTTCCGCCTGAGCGCGGCTGCGCCTCGCTCGAAGCCCGCGGGGTTGTCCCAACGGCTTGGTCTTGCGCGCCAACGGCTCGCGGGGTTGTCCCGACAGCCTGGCCCGCGGGGTTGTCCCAACGGCTGCGCGACGTGACCAGTAGAGAACGCGCCTGTGCTGGCCGTGGCGGCGACGGCGCCGAGGAACATCGACATGCGCGCTCATGCAACAGGAAGGGGAGGAGGTGGCGGGGCGCGGAACAAACAGGGGGGCGAGGATGGGGACAACGTAAGGAGTGGAAGGGGGGCCCGCGCCAAGGCGACAGGAAATATACGCAGAAGAGACAGCCAGGACGCCTCACCAACCACGAGGACGACGGTGATGGTTTTTTCCAGATTCGCCCAGAGGATTATTATGTGGGGTT